AATTTATTCTTCCATGATACCACCTCTGGGTGCCTGGGAATGGAGTGGACATTCTCCAATGTCCCCTAAGTTTGGGGAGATTTTCTTTCACTTCCTGTTGTGCCTCCAGCACAGGAAGTGTAGATAAATCACCCAATTATTTTGCAAAAAGGTTCTTGCCATTCACCACTCTTTAGATTCACGTAAACTGGATCTCTTCTGCAATAACTAAACACATTAAAAAGGTTTCAGTTCCCCTTCCCATCGCTGGTCTTACCGGTAGAAGTCGCTCTCGGGATCGCTGTGCCTCAGCTGGAACGGCAGCATGGGCATCTTGCAGTCCTGCGGCAGCAAGTCATCTGGAAGGGGAGGAGTTGGCGGTCGGTGCGGAAGAGGCTCGCTCTCTTCCACTTTTATGCCTTCCACCTGCTGCTGGTTCTGCCCCTGAGCCTCGGCGATGAGGCCGCGCAGTTTGCGGTTGTGCTGGATCAGCTGGATGGTGTGAATGGTGAGGCTGCAGGGCTCCGAGGGGACATCCAGGATGGTGGTCGGCCTCGGCTTGTTGGCGGATGGCTGGTGTAAGGGGGGCTCCTGCATCTCCACCGTGCGGAATTCCCTTTGCAGGAGGTCGAAGGAGCTTCTGCTGGCCTGTCCCGAGGCCACTGGGATCTCCCCCCAATACCGCATCATTTTGTGACAGAGACTCGGCACCGCTCCGTATAAAAGACGATCAAACCGCGAGCACGGGGAAGAGACAACGGTGAGATACCAATACTACATAGCAGTAAGAGGACGGGTGTGTCCTGCTTCCAGACACATCAGTGCTCACATTCCTGTGCCACTGCGCCGCTCAACCTGTGATGCAGACAAGGACAGAAGAGATCTATTAGTACATGCATGACACAATGAGAACACATTGCGACCCTCTACATAAGGGGCAGGCAAACTCCGGGCCTCCATCTGTGGTGAAACTACAAACCCCATAATGCATCTGCCTTTGGTAGTCATGCATGTGGCTGACAGAGTCTTGCAATGCCTCATGGGACTTATAGTTTTACCACAACTGGATGGCCAGAGTTTGGCTACCCCTGCTCTAAATTATACCTTAGCACACAGAATTAAAGTGCAACTAAAACAAAAACTTTTTTTTATAGTTTTGGATAGAGTGGATCAGAATCTCTGTCAGGTTTTTATTGCTGTCTGTGTCCCTGGTAGGGAGAATCACCCTCTCTATTTATCCTGGCGACCAAATTTTGTGTTGTCACCAGAAAAGGAATAGATGGGAAATCTTCCAATGGGGACACTAGCTCTAGTGACCACCAGGGATTTCCCTCACTTTGGCACTTTGGAGGGATTTACTCTCACTTCCTGTTGTGGCCAGGAAGTGAAGGGAAAAGAAGTGTTGTCAACCTAGGACAGGTACTGAGAGGAAACATGGATTCAGATCTGGAGGCTCGGACTTGTCCCTGGTCAGGGTGTCAGAAGATACTGAAGCCAGGGACAGCCAGGCCTGTGAATTCCCTTTAACGGTGTTGGTCGTACCCAGCGACAGGTCCTCCCTGCAGCCTCGCTCCCCTCCGGTATCTCCCACCTTCTTCTTTTCGTCTCGCCGCTTCTGACGACATCAGGTCGCGCCTTCCCCACGTGACCGGAAGTTTTCCCAGGACGTTTCCGATCTGTGTCTGTCTCGCGGTGAACACCGGCGGCAGAGCTGTGAAAGTGGCGCTGGATACATGGAGGCCGCGCGGCATGACCCCCAGACAGCCATACCAGGCCCAGTGGGGGCGAGGAACATGAGGTTTCCGGGGCCAATGAGGAGCCCGATGTTTCAGGGGACATTACCACACAGCAACGGAATGCCGGGCCCTGTGGCGCTGCGGGGCCCCATGATTCCAGGTCCAGCAGGGAGGGCCATGCCGGTGAGGGGGCCAATGTTCCTTGGACAAGTCCCCCCTCGGAATCCAGGAATGTCAATCCCCCCGCGGAACTCGATGACAATGGGACCCATGAGGAACGGCATCCAGAACCTGGGGAGGGGCCCGGCCAGGATCTCGGCTCCTTTAAGAAACCCGTCGCTCCTGGCAGGCCCGGTGGGCGTGAAAAGACCCTGGAACCCGGAAATCAACCAGCACCCCCAGCGCGGCCTCCTGTCCCCGCCCCAGATTGGGAAGCGGCCCCGGATGGCGCCCCCGGGCTTCCCTCTGATGCCTACAGAGCCGCGCCTGCCATTCCCTATGAGGAGCCTCCCTGGTCCGGGCGGCCCCAGGCCCTTTACAGCCTGGAGGTGCTGAAGGGAGGCGCCATCTTGTCCACCAAGAATCTGAGCCGAGCCAGCTGGACTATTTTCGGGCGACTCCCCGCGTGCCACGTTTCCCTGGAGCACCCCTCCGTGTCCCGCTTCCACGCCGTGCTGCAGTACCGCTCCGCCACCGGCTCCGAGCCCAACCAGGAGCGTGGATTTTACGTCTATGATTTGGGAAGTACACACGGCACCTTCGTCAATAAGCAGAGGATTCCACCTAAAACCTACTCCCGGATCCGGGTGGGACATGTGATGAAGTTTGGGGGCAGCACGCGCTTATTTATACTGCAGGTATTAGAATGGGGCACTAGATTTAAGAGTAACCCAGGAACAAATATGTCATAAAGCGTTGCTTACCCATCCATGTACATTCATAGCTGCATTCGTTTTATTTTCACCTGGGGATTCTTCCAATATCACACTTCCTGTCATAGGGTGACAACACTCACTCACCACACTCTATATATGAAGCAACGCTGTCACTGTAGGACAGGAAGTGTGCTAGTACTACAGAATTCGCCCCCTCTCCTCATCTTCATTACATATCCTATAGTAGTAATCTCTACTTACCAGCCCTTAGGTGGCTTTGATCATTTTCTTATTCACTCGGCTATCCAGTCATTAACACTTTTCCTGTCACAGGGTGACAACGCTCACTCACCGCGCTGGTGAAGCAGCCTTGTCGTAGGACAGGAAGTGTGTTAGGATCCCATCCTCAACTCCATAACATGGGGGGATGTGTTCTATTCTCAGAGAATACAGGACCGGGCTGATAATGTTTGTGATTACAGTGCAGCAGATAGCACAGGAAGTCATTGGCTCATCGGATTTCCGGCAGCATCAACTAGTATTTTTTGCACTTGCACATATTTAAAGTTTGAACCCGAGAACAAAAATATATTACAGTTTACCAGTTCTTACATGTAGTGGCTGCAATAGTTTTTTTTTAACCTGGTGATCCTGCCAGTAACACACTTCCTGTCATAGGTTGACAACAATCACCGCGCTTTATCTGTGGAGGATCGACGTCACCTTAGGACATGAACCGTGTTAGAATTACGAAACCCCTTCGCCTTTCTTCATCCCCATAGCATTGGGGGGGGGGGTTTGTATTTCACTGAACAGAACCAGGAAGGCTGAACATTGTTATTATAAGGACAGTGGATTTCTGGTAGGATCAACCACTATGTAAACCCCTCCTAAACATTAATGGAGAACTATTAAAATGTACTCTTCCTAATACTTAGAGCAGGGGTAGCCAAACTCCGGCCCTCCAGCTGTGGTGAAACTACAAATCCCATGATGCATCTCTCTCCGGGAGTCATGTCTGTGGTGGTGAGAATCTTGCAATGCCTCATGGGATTTGTAGTTCCACCACAGCTGGAGGGCCGGAGTTTGGCTACCCCTGACTTAGAGCCAGTGTGTGACAATGCAGGTGTTACATGCCGGCTTTATAGATCACAAGCTGAGCGATCACAAAATGCTGAATGCTCAGCTCGCGGTCTTCTCCCTGAAGAGAGCAGTGACTCAGTCAGGGATTCCCCCCTCCCCTTTATGTTCCCCTAGCGCTCATTGAAGAGACAGACAGGGGAGGGGGCGGGCACAGCTGGCTCTAGAGAGGCAGAGCCAGTTGTCAGGCAGCGGGGTGGATCCCGACAATATTGTTGGGATCTTTTCCCGGCTGCAGCACAGCTCTGCGCTGTCGGCAATTAGTGGGCAGTAGCCCCTTTGGGTCACAGGAGGATATTAGTAAATGTCCTCCTGTGACCCAAAAGAGAACTATTGCCAAAAAAAGGTTTGGCTTTAGGTCCTTTTAAAATATTTCAGCTTACTTAGATGGCATCCTCATCTCCCAAACATGGGGGGGTTCTGTAGACCTCAGAGGAAGGGCTGATGGCAACATTTCACATAATACTGTAGAATGCACAGGACAGCACTGGATTTCTGGGAGGATTAACATTTATTTATTTTCTTCTTTTGTTGTCAAACAGATATAACAAAACTCTGTCAACTTTTTAGCTACCAGAAGAAAAAGAATGACCCCCTCTGAGGGGTATCTGCCTGTAGTTAGGGTGGCTGTTATCTTCTGCCTTTGTCTTCCTTTTTTACTGCTTCTCACTCGCAATGCACATTTATTATCCCGTCCAGACTGGAAACACACTGAAGCTGGCCACACACTATTAGAATTCCCAGGAAACAGGCAAATCAATGTGTGACCAAAGGCGATTGATCGGTCGAGTTTTGTTAAAGGAGCCAGGCTGAAAGGTTTCCAAAACTTTCACTCCGGATTCCCAATCTTGGGTGAAAGCGTTGTGAATCTTGGATGAAATCATTAATAAATAGACCCCAAAGTGTCGCCTGCTTCTCACACACACAACAGAAACCAGTGTGCTTTGGTTCAGCACCAGGGACAGCGACCAATGTAAAATTACTCGAATAGTGGCTGCATCTGATTGGACACAGGAGATATTGGACCGGTGATTTTCCGGCCGGATCGATTCTCCAACCGACGGGAATAGGCTGACAGGGCCACCTACTGAGTGAATTTCTGTCGGGTCATTAAGAATCGGAGAGATTCACATCACGTATACCCAGTGCAGTGCTAAACAAAAAGCAAAACATTGTCACCATTGCTTTCCTTGAAACATTACAGACTATTATCCCCGACGTAGGCCGGCCATACACTGTACAATCTAAATGTACCATCTCTGTACAATAGATTTACCAAAACTATGTAATACGAGGACAAAGAAACAGGCAATTCAATTCAGATCACATCAGACCGGACCTTCAAATCTGTGCGCTGTTTATAGGAATGAGGAATGTTCATTTTTGTTTGCGGTTTCATGCGCTATGTGGCCCATAGAAATCTATGGCAATGCATGAAAAAAGTTCATATAGTTTGATTTTTAAAGGAGAACTATGGGGTCAGGGCTTTTCCCCATAGTTCTCCTAAGGGTAATGGGAGGACACAAACTAGCGTCCTCCCGTCACCCAAAGCTCAGTATACCGCGAGCTACTGCTCGCGGTATACTGAGACGCCGCAGCCGGGACGGATCCCAACATTACTGTCGAGATCCACCCAGCTGTGGGATTGACAGCTGGCTCTGCCTATCTAGAGGCAGAGCCAGCTGTACCCTCCCCCGTCCGTTCCGCCAGTCAGCGCTAGAGGGGAGGGCGGGGAGCTGTGACAGTCACGACTCTCTGCAGGGACCGGATCGAGAAGTGAGCGAGTGACGGTATGTGTTCCTTCAACTTGCCGATCTGTGAGTTTCGTTCGGCTAGAACTATGAGGCTGAGTGGTTTTCACTCGCCTCATAGTTCTCCTTTTATTGCAATGCGCCTGCCCAGCCTCCCCCCCTGGATACTGCCATATGCTCACACACTGCTTTAAGGCCGGTTTACATCATAGCGCTGTGTTAAGCGCACGCGATACCATGCATTTAGCACATGCTATTGCGCAGTGCACATAGTGTGGGGTACCCTGTTCTAGGTGCGTTTCACCACAATGCACCTCTCAGTGGCCGGGTGTTGCAGTGAAAAAAGTAGTGCATGCACTACTTTTTTAACCCCAAGCTGCAGTATTGCAGTACCGCATGATGTGCTGCAACACACAGCCACCAGAAGATGCATTGGGGTGCCATTCAAATTAATGGCTGTGCACCTAGCGCAGAGTACCGCACTCTCTGTGCTCTGTGCAATAGCAACCCTATGGTTTGAATTTAGAAAATGAAGAGTGATTGGTTAGCGCACTCCTAGGGTAAGGGGTTTGGTGTGTCGTGGCCGTTGTGTGGCTCCTCATGTTATTAGACCGGGGTGTCTTAACTGTGTGATGCTGAACAGAAAAAAGGGAAGGATCGCAACTAACTGGCGCAGACTGTGTGATGCTGAACAGAAAAAAGGAAAGGGAAGGAGCGCAACTAACTGGCTCAGACTGTGTGGAAGGAGATTGACCAGGGAATGACAGTAAATCGAGGTAGAAGGAAGCTGGAATGGAAATTGAGCACTCACGTGTGATGGAATGGATGGGCACAATGGGGGTGATCTCCCGGTAATGTTGTGAAGTCTGGTCGTGGTGACAGGCGGGTGTTCAGTGGACAGATGTGGATCCCTTCCCCCTCACGACAACATCACCAGGAGATCCCCACCATTGTGCCTATCCATTCCATCACACGTGAGTGCCCATCCATTCCCACTTCCTTCTACTTGGATTTACTGTTATTCCCTGGTTATTCTCCTTCCACACAGTCTGCGCCACTTAGCTGCGCTCCTTTCCTTTTTACTGTTCAGCACCCTATGGTTTGTAAATGCCATCAATCAATATGGCAAGTGTGGCATCTCTGCTGTATCACCCTAGCTGTGCTGAATCTCCAAACCCCGTCATGCCTCTGGGAGTCATGCCTGTTGCTGTCAGTCTTGCAATGCCTCATGGATCTTGTAGTTCTAGAACAGCTGGAGAGCTGAGGTTGCCCGCCCCTGCTCTATGGGGAATGCTGACAACTGTTGCTACCTGTGAAAGTTTAGGGCCAATTCACACCATATGCAGTTGTGATGCAGTCTGTTTATTTGACTGCTGCAGTCAAAATACATCACAAGGATTTCCTATGGTCTTTCTTGTGCTTTATTCACACTGCAATGGTGTGAACTGGCCCTTATAGAAAGATTATTTTTTTTCCAGCTGATGCTATGAAATTGTGTTTCATGAGATTGTAAATGAAACGTACGATTTAGATATTTCATGTTTTGTATATAGGACACGCTGGCACCTTAAAAATCCCTCTCTGTGTGTGTTGTCATTTCTTATACCCGGTATTCCTTTTTTTATAGCCATCCACCATTGATAAGCTATGTGACCTCTCCTTACTGACTACTTGTAGTATACAGCTCCTCTTATACTGTCTCTTTCCGTAGGGTCCAGAAGAGGACCAGGAGGAGGAGTCTGAGCTGACGGTGACACAGATTAAAGAAGCACGCCTACACAGAGAGATTCTTCAGAAGAAGATGCTGGGAGAGGACTCTGATGAGGACGAGCCCTCCGAGAAAGACAAGAAAGAACAGACTGGCACGGGAGAAGAGTCTGGCTGTATGTGGGGGATGGGTAAGTACTTGATGAATGGAGAACTCCGTACAAAAAATGTAAGACTAGGAAATGATCAGATGAGGACTGGGGAGTTCTGCATTATGAGGCTTTCATCTTACAGTTAAAGCGAACCTCCAAGCACCCCCTTTAATAAACTGCCATACTAATGACATCTCTTTAGGGAAGCAAGTACATGCGTCGTCTGCTGTTGTTTACAATACTCCCAATTAGAGCTGCAGCTAACGATTATTTTCAAAATCGATTAGTTAGCTCTATCCTCCCCCTACTTTGCATCCAGCACCACCATTTCTTTAAAAAGAGACGTCATTGAGAGCTTCTTCCTTATTTTCTTGTCAGCCCACCAATGATGTCTGTGCCAGATCTTGTTCAGCGCAGTCTCTGTATGAGATCTGGCACGGCTTGTTTTTGTTTATATGTTGCAGTAAGGTTTGCCACATGAGCACTATTACACCAGCCAACACTCCAGCTGAACCCACAGCAAGGTAAAAACAAAACAAAATCCCTTTTTTCCCCAAGGTCATCTTCCAGGAAAGCTACCCTGGAAGATTCCTAGAAACACCGTCACTGGTAAGACTAAGGAGTTGGTTTTCCCAAGGTCATCTTCCAGGACAACTACTTTAGGGAAATATGGGCTCTGTCCTGGAAGATTCCTGGAAACACCATTACTGGTAAGACTGAGTGTTGGAGATGACCTTGGAGAAAACCAAGGACAGCTACTTTAGAGGAATATGGACGTTGTCCTGGAAGATGACCCTGGGAAAACCAATTTTTAGTCTTACCAGTAACAGCGTTTCCAGGAATCGTTCACGACAGCATCCATATTCCTTTAAAGCGACATCCTGGAAGATGACTTTGGGAAAACTAACTCCTAGTCTTACCAGTAATGGTGTTTCCAGGACAGCGCCCATATTCCTCTAAAGTAGCTGTCCTGGAAGATGACCTTGGGGAAAACCAACTCTAAAATAACCAAAATATTGTGCAATAAACTTAAAATTGTCGCGTGTTTTGGAATCTGCATGCAGATACGTGTGTGTGTGTGTGTGTGTATAAAAACCTGATCACAACCTTTCATTCATGTGACCAGCCTCTCCTCCATCATTATGCATAGATCCCCATCCCACACACCTAACCCAGGGCTCGACAAATCCCAGGAGCCAGATTGCCAATGCTCATGAAACATCACATCGGGTGCCTAACTTTTGAGGTTTTCTCTATTTGTTGTCAATGGGGCTGGCTCCTAAAAAAAAAATCTGGAGAGACTGGCCTCTTTGCATTTAGCCCTGCCTGTACCCGGCACAGCTCCCACAATGCACCTCACTCTGCAGAAATTAGATCCATCAATTCTGCAGAATAACTTGGTATCTCTAATACAATCTAGGTTGTTCTTTCTGTCATTGCACTATTCGACATTAAAAGAGAACTATGGGGTAACCTTTTTATCCCTCTTTAGGGTCACATATTCTTACATCCTGCCGTGACCCAAAGCTCCGTATATAGCGGGCTATTGCTATATACTGAGAGCACCGCAGCCGCGACGGATCCCGACAATACTGTTGAGATCCACGCAGCTGGCTGATTGACAGCGGGCTCTGCCTATCTAGAGACAGAGACAGCTGTGCCCGCCCCCTCCCCTGTCCGTTTATCCAGTCAGCATTGGAGAGGGGAGTGGTGACTGACAGTCACCGCTCTCTGCAGGGAGATGATCGGAAAGTGAGTGAGTGACGGTATGTGTTCGCTCACTTCTTGATCAATAGAGCCGACCTGTGACAGCTTCTTTGTCACACGTCGGCTCTAACTATGAGGATTAGTGTAAATCACTCACCTCATAGTTCTCCTTTAAAGGATAACTATGGGGTTCTATCTTTTTTTTTATGAATGCATTCCTTAGTTCTTCTTTAAGAGTCCATTCACAGTTTAGGGCTGCATTGTGTGTTAATGATCCCGCATTGTTGACAGATATGACCCCTTTTTTTTGTTTTGTAGTGCACCACAATACACAGCATGTGTTTACCACTACTCTGTTAAGTGTGTTGTGTTGATTTTCAGAGCTCAAAATGTCAAGTCCTGAGCTACTAGCCAGGCCTTAAGAGTTACTCGCCACCAGTTGCCCCACCTAAACGAGTGGAAATTTTGAGCCCTGGATTTTCCTTTCAATTGCAATGCACACCACCTCTACATGCGTGTTGCACTCACTACCGCAATGCATATATCTGAATGGGGCTTAAAGATAATAATTTTGTCAATCATTCTCTTGTGTGTTTAAGGTGATGATGCCATCGAAGAGGAGAATGAGGAGAATCCCATCGCCATGGAATTTCAGGAAGAACGTGAAGCTTTGTACCTCAAGAATCCGAAGAAAGCTCTGCAAGGCTTCTTTGACCGAGAAGGTATGTACAGCTACAGAGAGAAGACTGCGGGACATTACAGTAGTGTAGGTCGGAGTTCAGGAGCAGAGTATCATGTCCTTGTAAAATGGTGAACACGCCAAAGGTCAACTTTGACAACTAGGCTGCACATTGATAGGCTATGGACCATAAGGAGGATGCTTAGTGATTTGCAGTTCTGAGGTCCTGGATTTAATTTCTACAGCTGGTCCAATGGGTATCTCTTCGCACTTACTGGAAACCTCTTAGATGGGTGCTGAAATGGCTGCGGATGGCTCCGCTGAAGTCAATGAGGACGCAAAATGTCACCAGCACAGCAGAAGACTTTTGGTGTGCTGGTGACATTTTGCTTTCTCATTTCTACAGTGGGGACATATACAGCAGTTAAAACTTGTCAGAGGTGTTAACCTTTCCCCACTGTATTCAAAGCCCCAAAAAATCTGGCGTTCCATTTTAAAGAGGACCTGTACCGTAGAGGCTGCGCCCAAGAAAAGGCAAGCATACAGAGAAGGACCAGTCGCCAGTATTGCATGTTGTTGTGGAAACTTTATTAGGATGTGTTTTTAGTGTATTGTAATATTTTGTCATTATGTCTCTTAGTGTCAGGGTTTGCTGCGTCACGCCCAATTGGAGCGTGACCCGGTTTAAATCCCCACTAAGAGTAAACCATTGGAGTAGATATCTTATGCATGGCGGAGCAGTGTCTTCTTGGCGAATGTATGGACGCCGGCTAGGGCCCCCGTGCAATGCATGGATTTATTGGCTTGCGTGGATGCATTTGTTTTGAACGCAGTATATGAAAGGAACGTGCGTTTGTCTCTAGTGCTCCTGATCAACCGCTGGAGATAATATGACGACGTCCCTGTAAATAAGCACGCATGAGAATCATAGTAACGTTATTGGGCATTGATCACTGAGCAATGCTGGATAAGGTTCTCTAGTGTTAATTGGAGATGATATGTTATGTTGATATGTAGTGAGGAAGTGATGTTGGTTGTTGACATCACTTCCTGGTTTGCTGGTTGTTGACATCACTTCCTGGTTTGCTGTTTGAGACATCACTTCCTGTCTGACATCACTTCCTGTCGGACAGCTATAAAAAAAAACAAATACCTGTTTTGAGTCTCTAAGAATGGAACTAGCAAGAAAGCAACACCTGTGTCCTAACTCTACATGACTCTGGAGGGGTACTTCCAGTCCTTGCACAAAAGAGCGTAATACAACTGTGCTTTTAATTCTGTGGGGAAATTCTTTGTGTTTGACATACTTTAACCAAACAATGTAGACTTTCTGCAGCTGATCTGTTCCCCATTAATGATTTGCGATGCCTTGTTCTGCACTGGAATCTTAGTAGAGGCAAGGTTTTGCTTCCTCATGTCAGAGCTGCCCCCTTGGTGACTGGTGGGGGCATATTGCAGAAGCGGCATAATAGGTTCAGAAAGCACAGGCTGGGTGAAGCAAAGAGGTCATTATACTGCAGCTTCCCTTCCAGCAAGGAGAACAGTGAGGAGCTCAGTAGTTACATCCCCAAATCTCACTCCAAATCTGGTGAGACTAGCAGTCAGAGGCAGCAGTGCCTTAGATGATCTCATACTCCAGATATACAGCTATGAGGCTTTAATCACAGGAGAGCCTAGGCACCCTCCCATACCAGGAAGTGCACTGCTATTTTCCAGGGGGTGTTCCAGATAAAATGGACATTTTCAGGTTTAGGCACAAATAAGATTTCTAGATGTCTCCAATAACATAGCAAATCTTCACTTTTTGAGTTCAGGTCCACTTTTAGCTTCCTCTTATATTGACTTTATGATAATATTTAGAGGTGCACCGAAATAGAAATTTAAAAACCGAAATAAAAAAAATTGTCAGGAGTCGCTGAGTGTCTGTACTCGCTCTTCTCTGTCACACGCTGTCACAGGAGGCTGAGCGAGCGGAGCAGGGAGGAGAGCTCAGCCTCCTGTGACAGCGCTGTTTCCGCCCCCACACCTCTCTGCCGGACTGTGATAGGCGGCCAAGCAGTGTGGGAGGAGAGACCGGCCGCTCACATCGCTCAGCCAGCTGTCACTTTCTCTCCTCCCCGCTGGGACACAGAGCAGCGCCCAGCGGGGAGGAAAGAAACTTGGGATGTGTCGATGTATCAGCAGGAAAATGGCACTTTCGGCATTTAGCCAAAAGTGCAATTTTCAGCCGATATATCGGTGCATCCATAGTAATATTAATATTTAGGAGTTCTATAGTGCCAACACTGATTGTAAGCTTCTCAGACACTTTCCAAAGTGCCGTGGACCATGTTGGTGCCATGTAAATACATTTTATATGAATAAATAAACTGTATACCTGACGTGAATGGGATGAAAACGGCATTTGATTTTTGTTTTAGGGGAAGAACTGGAATTTGAATATGATGAACACGGCCCGGGGTCTTGGGTCTGCAGAGTAAAGTATGTCGGTTTTACAATTTATAATATATGAAGCTTTATGTGCAAAGTTATTGCTTCTTCTATCGCCTAATTGTGTTAATCACCTCATTTTCCAATTAAAAGGTCTCTTTACAGCAGGTGCAAGGTGTTCCCTGACAGTCGTGTCCATGTTGCCATTAATAGAACATTGCTCTGTATTGTTTGTGATATTAGACTGAGGTCTGCAATGTGGACACAACTGTCAAGCAGCAGCCTGAGCCAGCAGCATAGCAGGTGATAATTCTCATCGTTTATGGATACCACTTGGAATTATAATCTTGCGGGGTGTTTTGTGCAGAATACAGTTAATCAGTTTAAAGTAGAACTGAAGCCACAACTTTTTTTTTTTGGTTAGGTTTATAGCCCCTTTGAGCTTTTTTTTTTGCTATCTGTCTCCCATTGGGGAAATTGCTCTTCATTTCTTGTCAAATAGTCACAACAGGAAGTGAGGGATATCTCTCCAAAGACCGAGAAATCCCTGGTAGTCAGCAGCGTCACCAGAACTTGTGTAGTCTTTGGAAGTTTTTCCACCTATTCCTGTTGTGGTGACAGCCCAAAATTTGGGATTTTCTTTCACTTTCTGTGATGATTGCCACCAGGACAAATCGAGGCGGTTATACTCCCTAACAGTAACACAGACATCAATGAAAATCTGACCGGTGTTCTAATCTCTCTCCACTCCATCCTAAAATTGCGCTTTATGATATGAGATTTAGATGTCTCTTTAAAATTTACATTTATTGTATTAATTCCTTCCCCCTCCCCGCTTTCCACTTCCTCTCCAATTAAGCCCAGCCCAGGGTGAAATGCTTCAGAGCATGGCCATGTTATGCGGAACAATAAAGTTTTATTGAATGCCATAATCGGCGAGCAGCCTAAGCCAGTTTTAATAATCAGTACAGCTATGTGTACTATGAACATGCATTGCTGTAATGAAAAACTTTACGAAACCTAAACGCTGTCCAATTTATTACTCCAAATAATTTGCCTCTCATCCCTTTAAAGTGGAACTCCAGCCTAAAACTGTGCCGTGATGAGTGAGGCAGGCTTAAAAACTGTTGAATATTTTGTCATTTGTCTCCTCTGGGCAGGTTTCAGGACAGGAAGTGGGGTGACTTTTCTCCAAGGTTTATTTCTGCCCCATCTTCAGACGTCTGTTGGGTGAATCTCATGATCCATTTGTGTTCATCATTAGGTTACCAGCAGACGATTCTGCTGGGAAGCAGCTGGTAGCGGAGATCACCCATTCTGGTAGGAAGAAGGACGCAGCCAATCTCTGCTCTCTGGAGGCGTGCCGCATGCTGGAAATGAGAGGCTTACTCCGCCAGGAAGCTGGTAAGGGCTAATGGTGTTCATTCTCTTTTCCTTAAAGCGGAAGTAAACCTAAGAAAAATAATTAAAAACTGCTAGAAATTGAGAGGGTTTTTTTTTTTTGTCAGAATAGACATGCCCAAGTCTCTTCTGCCAAAAATACAGATACTTCAAGTTTTGATCTCTCGAGTACACTGTACTAGGGCTGCAACCAACTAATCGATTATGAGAATAGTTGTCAACTAAGTGTATGTATAAAGTCACTCACACTCCAATAGAATTTCAAGTCAAAAACGATTTATTGACTCGATGGCTATCACATCATATAGCGACGTTTCGGAACAACAGCGGTTCCTTCTTCAGGCAACATAATGGGAATAGTTGTCAACTATTCTCATTATCGATTAGTTGGTTGGATCCCCTAGCTCTCTCCTCCACGCTGGGAGGAGGGCACAGCAAGCAGTAGGCGGGTACAGAAGCCAGCCTGCTGTTGGCTATTTCAATTTGAAATCGCCAATAGCTGGCTGGCTATTGCACCAGCCCACTACCTGCTGTATTTACATTCAGCTGCCATCTGCAGAATTTTGCCAGGGGCAGCTGTCATTCCTCGGCTGAAGCTATTCAAGCGCCTTGTGTTTACAGTACAATTATTAAAAAATACAAGTATAAAAGGTGGCAAAAAAGTCATTTTCGGCCTGACAAAGTCTGCTGCGGGAGGTGCGTTGCAGTGCCATTCATTTCAATGGCACCCCAAACACACCTCCCACCCGCAGTGTGATCGCCCGCACTGGAACACACAGTACCGAAATTCCGTGCATTCCAATGCAGTGCGATTGCACAAAATTGTGCATGCAAAGTAAACTTTGTCTATAGCACTGCATTTGTTTATTTTATTTTAAACTAAGGATGGTATTTAATTAATCGAAAAAATAATCAGCCAACTAATCAATTATGAAAACAACCATTTAGCTGCAGCCTTACACTGTACGGCACGTTTGTAAGTGACAGGTTCTCTTTACGGTGACATCAGAGATCTTTTGGACCCCTGATGTCTCCCCTGCCCTCCAATACAGGTGATCGAACACAGGATTGTGCCTGATCACCTGTGTAACCTGCACTTCAGCCAGCTTTGTGACAGCTGTGAGCAGGAAGTGCTCTGAGTGCATCACTTCTCACTGATCACAGATGTCCATGTCCCAGTCTGCTCCCGCGCTCCATCCTGAATGCATTTTCTATGGTTCCGGTTCCCCCGAGAAGCAGGAACCCCTAAAACCACTTGGGGGAGGGGAGAATAGCCTATGCAGGCTTCTACAAGTGATCTGGGTGACTGTCCGGCCAGCCAGATCTCTTGTACAAAATGAGCATCGCCTGCTGAAAAATAATGTCACCAAGATCTTGTTATAACCACTTCAGGACGACGACGTGTATGTGTATGTATATATATATATACACACACACACACGTGTTTTTTATATATATAATGTATTGGTCTTAAAGTGGTTAAGCTTGAGTGGAGGACATAGGAATCACGTGGGCTTCAGTCTGTCATTTTTCTGCTAATGGTCTCCTATGAGACATATGATGTTTATTATGGATCCAAAATCGTGTTTTTCCTGATCTAAGCCTTGGACCCGGAATAATGCAGTTCAGCTCTAACCCGCCTTTTGTACTTCTAGTTTCACGGAAAAGAAAATCCAAGAAGTGGGAGGACGAGGACTTCTATGACAGCGATGACGACACTTTCCTCGACCGCACGGGGGTAGTAGAGAAAAAGCGCCTGAACCGCATGAAGAAGGCCGGCAAGATTGAGGAAAAACCAGACACCCTGGAGTCCCTGGTACGTGGGGGGAGATTTATTCTTCATTTTCAGCTCTCCTGAGCGAGTCAGACTTTAAGACTTCTTATTTTAGTGTTTTTTCTTTGTTTTATGTAATACTTTTTTTGGATGTTTTTCTTTGCTTCCTGTCCTGGAGACTCAGCTGGAAGTGAGAGGAGATCTGTGCCACGTGAGGGAATTCCCCTTTTAGAGAGCTGTCACTGTAGCAGGGGTCCCCCTTGGAACATTGCCCCCTCAAAGTTTGTTCTAAAATTTTAGATTTTCCATCACATTGTTTAATTTTTCACCAGGACAAGTAGAGAGGATGACTCTACCCAGCTAGGACACAGACAGATGTTCTTATCCTTATCCACTCAATCCAAAAGTGGGGGGGGTTGAGTTATACACAAACTTTAAAGATGATGTTTCCGCACTTTAGGGCTGCTGTACATATATGTACATCATCTTTCTGAAGTGGTCATACCAAGATCATGGCGGCTGCTGCTACCTCATATTGTTTTCTTCAGCAGGCAGAGCACTTCAAAGTACAAGTGATCTGAGCGGCTGTAGAGCCACCTGATCACCTGTATAGTACTCTTATGTGCACCACGCACTGTGGCTTCCAGGTTCTCCCACTCCTCTGGGATGATGGCAGATGCTGTCAGGATGGAGAGTGGGAGCAGACCAGGGAACTTCCACTCCCTGATCTGCATTTTGATCACTGAAGCAGGAAGTGCTGTGCTCTCAGCAGTTCCTGCTTCAGAGCTGTTAGACATCTGACTAAACTGCCGGTTACACGGGATCAGGCACAGTCCTGTGCTTGATCACCTGCATTGGAGGCCGGGGAGACATGAGGGTGGATATTAAGCTCACAGAGTGCAGTGGAATCGGAGTAAGCAATATCAGTCCAGGAGAGCAGCCAGTACAACTGTGCAAGACTGAAGGGAAGGCCGGAGTTCAGCTTTAACAATTTTTCTGAACAGGGGTCTTCTTCTACACAGGGAGCAAAGGTCCTTCACAGCATGTGACAGGCTTTTCTGCTCAGGCTGTGGCTTCCTTAGAAAGAAAGCAAAATGTAAGACAAGGAACACCTTTTTGTTTTGCTTTGAATTTAAAACACATAAATACACAAATGAAATACATATATTGGGCCTGGTATTACCGGCAATCCAGTTCTAAGATTTGCACAGCTCGGCAGATGACACCACTTACAGTATGACAGATAACAGTGGTACACAGTAGGGTCCTCTCCCCACTCCCAGCCTGCTTACTGGACAGTGAAAGAGCAGCAGCAGCAGACAGGTCATCCTTCTGCTTACTCTGCTCTATATTCCCAATAGCTTAATCCTTGTCAAACATTTGCATACAGCACACCTGACCGTCTCAGAGATATGCCCCACCCTATCCCAGTCTGAATACTGCTGGGGATTAGAGGAGGCTGATACCAGATCAAATTCAGGTTCTAACGCTGGTTGCATTTAGGAAATAAAATATTTAAAGATGTATTCTGCATTAATTTGAGGCTTCTCAGTATAAGATTTCTTTTTGTAACAAAAAGTTACATTTTAGAATAATTCAACAGGCATGAGTACCGCAATTGGGAAATGTTGCTTTAAAGGCAAACTCAGAATACATAAATACAAGAGTTGTGTATTCTTCCCTGAATCTTGGTGAGCGTTATGTGATCAGTAAAAATAGTGCATGCAGCATTTTTTCCGACCTCACCAGACCGGAAAGCATGCATTGATGTGCCACGCATTCCAATGCGGACAATCGCACTGAAGGCAGGGGGTGTGGCTGCAGTGCCATTGACTTCAGTGCACAGCCATGCCCCCTTCCGCCTGAGAACGCAGTGAGCTGGCCGGGATGCGGTCCAGTGCGTTCCGACACAGAATCGTGCCGGAACACACTGGGGCTGGAGTGAACTAGCCCTGAAGCTTTCCCTCTGTTTCCTGTAATAGAGACCGGTAGTTGTTGTTCCCTCTCCTTGTGCAGGATAACTTGCCTGGTCTCCACCCCTTCTTGTATTTTTATGCAGGCGGCCTGTAAGTGGGTGTGGCTTGATGGTCCCTACCACGGCTCTTTTCTTTGCGCAGGCTATGTACAGAACAGTGCTGATGTTGCTGCTAATTTGACAAGTTAAGAACTGGATTTACAATGGCATTTGGTGCACACAAAGTGGATTTATTTCCTTTGTGGCTATTGAGGAATATATTTATAATGGAAGTTTTCTGTTCCTGGAGTTCAGCTCCCCATGGTTCTGCTTTTTACTATATACATGACCGTATCGATTGCAAAGGCAGCATGCCAAATATTGATTTGTGCTAAAAGTATAACTGACTGTTTATCTTTTCTAGACTGTTAAACTGGAGCTTGTGGAAAAGGAAATGTTGGAGGTAGCAGCGAAGCTGAGAACATCTCAGACAGGTAATGTAGTCTTCAACACCTACGTGACCCGTCCCTGCTTCACCCTGCAGGCTCTGCTCTGCCCCTGATCCTTGTAGTATAGTTTTTATGTAAAGACTAAAAAGAGAACTAAAACCAACCCTTTTTTTTGGCTTTAGTGCTCTTTTGGGTCAGTGGAATAGATTTACTAATGTACTCCTGTGACCCAAAGTCAGCATATAGAGGGCTACTGCCCGCTATTGGCTGACAGCGCAGAGCCACACTTTAGCTGGGAAGGATCCCATCAATATTGTCGGGATCCACCCTGCTAGCTCTGCCTCTCTAGGGCCAGAGCCTGCTGTGCCTGCTCCCTCTCCTGTCTGTCCCTCTAATGAGCACTGAAGGAACAAAAAGAGAGGAGGGGGTAATCCTTGCAGGAAGCGATGACTGACGAGGAGAAGCCATGGGCTGAGCACTCAGTGGTTCATGATTGCTTAGCTCAGCCACTGCTCCAAGCTTACTCCTTGGGCTACAATCTCACGCTTAGTTTACTTATTTGTATTGAGATTGTAGTCCATCACATGAGCGAGCTTGGATCGGTGACTACTTTACAACACACACAGGGACCATGGGGAACAAAAGTAGCCACTCTCCAGAAGGAAGGACAGTGTCAGCACCAATTCAGAGATGATTTGAGGATCTACAGCCGAGTGATGCACAAATAAGATACATTTTGTTAATAAGGTACTTAGATGCATTTTTAAGATTTAACTCCTGAGTTTAGTGTCACTTTAGAGGTGACTGCATTGAATGAGATTTCAGAGAGACGCAGACTTAGTCAAGAAGAGGCCAAAGCCCACATCATCATTATCATCAGATTCTATAGATTCTTCCATCTTTTCTTCTTGGGCTGGTGGAGCTGCATCTATAATTGCTGATGGGTCTGCCAAAAAAGTATCTTGACCTTTTATCAGCCAGCAGCTTTTTTAAATGTAGTTCTATATGTAATATGTCTCTTGGTTCCCACATTTGGGATATTTCTGTGTTAGACACGTGGATAAAATAGGGAAGATATTCTATGTTTACGTTATACATGAAACCATAGAGATAAACACCGGATACATCATATGCCTTTGGTCTCCATACTATGTAGCTGACATGTTCTTTCCAATGCAGATATGCCCCAGCCTTCCACGCAGGACTCTCTGGATGCCTTCATGACAGAGATAAAGGCTGAGAGCTCTCTGGACAGCGTGTCCCGGAAAAAGCTTCACCTGCAATCACTGGAGCTGAAGAAGGAGCAGCAGAGACTGAAGAGTCTGATCAAGATTGTCCAGCCCACCAAACTCCCCGAGCTGAAGACCAAGTGAGTCTCCTGGTTCAGTATTCATGCTGCGCGTTGTCTGTCTTCCCCGGGGAAATCTCTTCTGTAGCTGCATCTTTCCAATTTACGGCTTATAAACCGGTTGTGGAGAGGTGATAAAGTATTCTCTACGTCCTGTAACTTTCCTGAGACTGGAGACCGAGCACAAATGTGCCTGTCCATACTCTCTATGGTGCCGTTACCTTCCAAAACAATAATTCACCAGTTACATAGTATCAAATACGACATCCGAGATTTACTGGTGGGAATGAACTATATCTGCAAGTAAAAGTAGCACTGCATCCAGAGACTTCCATATCACAAAGTGTTAGATCAATGGAACTTAAAGGGGCAGTCAACTCATAACGAGGAAAAAAAATGGTGAGGCATTGAAAAATGATTCATGTGTTCGCTTCAAGTGACTAGCGACTCTTTAAGTAGATCGAAACCCTAACTGACTGACTTTTAGGGCTTCATGTATAAAACTTCCTACTGCCAGGGCGCTACTGCCGTGCAAACAGGATCCGTCCAGCTATACGCTGGGAGGAAGTTTTATACATGAAGCCTTTAGTTTGTTTTAACAAAGTACTTGTATTAACTTTCTCTTCATACTATATGGCATCTGAGTGCTGCTTATAACGTGCAGTCACATCCTATCTACATGTGCTCCAGCGATGGCTGCATGGAATTTCCCAGGGCAGGTTTCCATGTTTTGTTTTTAAAATACGTTGTTCACATTTTTCTTCCTTCCTGTCATCTCAATGCTGATGATCTAATGGCAGCCTCTTATACGGGGGGTCACATATTCGGCCATATAGTGGATGAGCTATAGTATAGCCGATTAAACTAAACCATTCTAAATTGGACCTTTTTAAATAATGTGCTTAATAATAATGTGCTTCTTCATTATTAAAAATTATTCATAAGAGAACATGAGCACAATAATATTAACTGTATTGCCTTGTATTTGAGGTTGAATAAAAACATAAGTCCATCAAGTCCAACCTATTACGTGTATGCATTTATGGTTCTGCTGGTGTGTGTATGAGTCCATGTGTGATCTTGTTCTTAGCAGTACTTGTACCCCTGTATGTTATGGTCTTTAAGGAAATCGTCCAAGAGCTTCTTGAATGATTCCACATTCTTAGCTGAAATCACTGCATGTGGCAGCGAGTTCCAGACCCTAACCGCTCTAACTGAGAAGAACCCCCTGCGCCCCTTGTGCTGAAATTTTTTCTCCACCAATTTTAGATGGTGGTCTCTAGTCTTTGTTATGGGGTTAAACGTAAAGAGTTTGTTGCTAATGTTGCTGTCACCCTTGAACATTTTATACAGGAAAATCATATCCCCCCTTAATCTCCTTACTTCCAATGAAAACATATTTAAATTTAGTAGCCTTGTCTCATAGCTCTGGTCCTCCATCCCCTTAATGAGTTTGGTTGCCCTCCGCTGGACCTTTTCCAACTCAAGGACATCTTTTCTGTGGACTGGTGACCAAAACTGGACCGTGTACTCCAGATGAGGCCGAACCAGTGATCTATAAAGTGGCAAAATTATAGACTTGTCTTTGCAATACATCCCCTTCTTAATACAAGACAGGACTCTACTTGCTTTGTTTACAGCAGCCTGGCACTTATTCAATCTGCGGTCTACAATGACCCCCAAATATTTCTCCATTTCTGACTTCCCTAGTGGCATACCCTTAAGTGTATAGCCCATTTGCTTATTTCTAACTCCAAAGTGCATTACTTTTATCGACATTGAACTTCATCTGCCATACAGTTGCCCACTCCCCTATTTTATCGAGGTCCCCCTGTAATGTTATAATAAAACGACTGGCGCTGCAATTAAAATGAAAACAATGCCCCCTGCAAAGAAGAGAATTCCTACACTCCTCTCTCGCTGTGATACCGCCAGTCTGCACTGTATTGTCCAGATGAAGCCGGGCACAAGGAATCCGAAGCTTCTTGATGTGTTGCATTCTAAAGATTCTTCAGGCAGCTGTGTCTCTTCTGTATGGGAGAGGTTGGTATGAACTGTATTCTTTGTAGGGGTCACTTTGTTTTTAATCATTATCCTAACTACAGGTTGGCTTTAACCTCCTTCCTAGCGTTATGTCTGTTGCTTTTTTACGTTGAAATTTAAGCGGCACATATTCTGCCTTCCCCTTCATGGCTGGTGGAGGGGCATTGACAGGGTGCTTCCTGAGAACAACACAGCACTCTGCCCCAGTACATCTCTCAAAAGCCCTCAGCTCTGATGCAAGCTGTGACTTTTGGGCGGGAAATCATGCAAATATCAAAATGCCTTAATGGGGGGATGTCTGTCTGATGGAGTGGGCTATACATACTATAGTGTTGAATTTAACGTTCTTGCCTTCTCTCAGTCCAGCGGCAGAAGACCCCAAGGCAAAGAAGCTGACCTTACCCTTGTTTGGGGCTATGAAAGGAGGAAGCAAGTTCAAGCTCAAGACTGGCACCGTTGGGGTAAGAGGTTGAAGTAAAACTCTGCTTTCTTCCAACCAAACCGATACCATACCAGATCAACTTTTGTGAACTTACGTTTTTTTCTAAAAGACTTGGTGACACTAAACACGGGATACACCTTAAATACATTCAAGTGCATTCACCCTACTAACATGTATCTTATTTGTGTATCACTCGGCTGTAGATCCTCAAATCATCTCCGGAATTGGTGCCGACACTGTCCTTCCTTCTGGAGGGTGGCTACTTTTATTCCCCATGGTACCTGTGTGTGTTGTAAAGTAGTCACCGCTCCAAGGTCACTCCTGTGACGGAGAAGCCATGAGCTGAGCAGACAGTGGTTCGTGATTGCTCAGCCACCACTCCAATCTTACTCCCGTGATGTACTATAATCTCATGTTTAGTTTACTTATTTGAATGTGAGATTGTAGTCCAACACAGGAGTGAGCTTGGAGCGGTGGCTACTTTACAACACACACAGGGACCATGAGGAACACACGTAGCCACCCTCCAGAAGGAAGGACAGTGTCAGCACCAATTCGGAGGTGATTTGAGGATCTACAGCCGAGTGATACACAAATAAGATACTTTGTTGTATTTAAGGTACTTGAATGTATTTTAAAGGTTTAACTCCTGAGCTTCGTGTCACTTTAAGTCAAAAAGATTTACTGTGTCCCCAAGTAAACCCTTTAAAAAATAGGTTTTATGCAAAGAAAAACTCCTTTTATAGCAGACATCTTTGCAGATTGTTTCCGTCTTCCTTTATACGGATAGTGAAATGGACTTTTCCAGTGTACCTGCTGCCAGTGAGCAACAAGTGGGGAGCTCTGCCTACTATTGTCTCCAGTATTACAGCACATTCATGTGTTTTCCTCACTATGGCAGACAAGGCTCAGTGCCATATTTTTCTGTTTTTCTTGTTTATTTATTTGTTTTCACAAATCCAGAAACCTCCACCAAAACGGACGGATATCCCGCCTAGCCTCCTTACCATGAAAGACACAGATGAGCCCGAAGAGGAGGAGGATGAAGATGAACAAATGAAAGTAGAGAGTCCTGGTGAAGGCCACTCGGAAGACAGGCTGACAGTAGCTGATGCGGCTGAGCACAGCATGAAGACCAATCCTGTTCCAGAAACTCGGGGTAAGAACACAACATGTTTCTCTGAACACTTGCTACAGATTTGTACATCATATGTAAAAGAGTTCAGTGGTAGATGTGATACGCATTGATGTATTTGTGTTGTTTAGGTTGAAGAAAAAGAAAATGTTCAGGATTCTACCTTCTGCAGTTTTTTTTCCTGCCTGCAAAGGAAGGAAAAACAAAAACAACCGATGTCTATGGATAATGTGGAAATAAATTCATACTCACCCCAGATAGTTGATCAGTGCCCTGAATTAAAATATTACTGTATTATCTATGATCACCGTAATTTTTCGAAATAGATATAGATATATATAGCAGGAGGAAGAAGGTCCTGATTTCCCCTATAATAGATCTTTAGTTATCACTAGAGGCATCACCAGCAGGAGGTACAAGGTCCTGATTACTCTATATAGATCTTTAGTTATCACTAGCAGGAGGTACAAGGTCCTGATTCCCTTATATAGATGTTTAGTTATTACTAGAGCGATCCCCAGCAGGGGGAAGGAGGTCCGCATTCCTCTCTATAGATCTTTAGTTATCACCAGAGGGGTCGCCAGCAGGAGGAAAGAGGTCATGATTCCCCATATCGATAGGGTAGCCCCACTGCAGGGGTCAACTTTTTAGATTGCTGGGGATCCTCTTTAAGCTATGTGAACGTGGTTATCTAACAAATATCAAATAGGTGTTATCCCAGTTTGACTGCACAAGTGGAAATTCACTTTAAGGAGACTGAATGCAGGGAGACATGGTGCTTGCTAAACGTACTCAGAAATAGATTTTGCCTTTACGTACACTTCAACCCTCCACTTCTTCAACCACGGACCTACAGACCTGTAACCAATCCCTGACCAGATCAGGCTGTAGGCATTTTTTGTTAGAGATATATACCGTGTTTCCCTGAAAATAAGACAGAGTCTTATTTTATTTTTTTTGCACGAAATAAGACACTAGGTCTTATTTCGGGGGATGTCTTACCTGGCTGGGGGAGGACTGGACGAGGTCCCGGAAGGCGACAAAAAAATTGGCAAGTTAAGTATCATTTTACTTATCCAATGTGTGGCTTTTTGTATAATGTGTGCAATTTATATAGATGGCATGCTGTATATACAGTACTCCCCAGGTATGATCTTCTTTAAGCATTGCAATATTTTATTTAGTGTTGCAGCTGCCACTTGGCATTGAAATCTGCTGCTCAGTTTTCAGTTAGCTGGTATGGTCACATCTACAGCTACAGCTCTGTTTTTGCTCCGCTGTATTACGTGTGACATTTGTATAATGGCTGACAAGTTACAATTAAAATATATTATATGGAGATGTATATCGGTGTGATTAGAATAGATGATGCATGTGTATACAGTGGCACTTTAGGGGTCTCCGTATCATTCAGTTCATAACACTTGTGTGTCCTGTAGCTGCGAGAAGAGCAGAAGAGGTGCAGAGGGCGAGTCCCGAGAAGCAGCAGGAACCCCCAGAGCGCAGCACTAACACCCGCTCCCTGAATGGCCCAAAAAAGCCAGGTACGTAGACATTTTTTACTTGGTATGTTATAAAATCGTCACATCATACCTTCTGTTACACATGGGGAACTGCTAAAGCTGAAAGGAATGCACATTTCTGTCCATCCAGTCGTGACATTTACACAGCAAAGCCCTGTCTGGCGGGGCAGGAGACTTGTTATTTCTCTGCTGCAGTTTAGCTTATTTCCCGAGCGAGACGCCTAGAATAAGTCTGGCATCTGTGTCTGCCCCGCTTTATGATCATTGGAAGTCAGTGGAAGGAGCACAGTGTCAGTTTCCGACAAACTACGGATGGCTATGACATGCTAAAGGGCCGCGTGGCTACACACGGAGCATTTCTTCAAGTTCATTTCTCAATTTTAATGAAAAACTAGGTTGAATGTACACTTTAAAAATTACAATTTGACTTTCATTACGATACACATCCCGTGCAAATGCTCTGCTACATCATCCCGCACCAGCCCTTTTCTGGGTTGAGTGCCCATTGTCATTCAGCCCACTTCCTCTGAGCCCAGTGCATCACACTGGACTGGCCTTCTAGTAACACTGCACAGAACGGCCGCTGCGGAAGGAAGAAAAGAAGACCCTGATGTTGAGGCCCTTTAAGAGCAGCCAAGCAGATTGCAATGACTCTGAGAGCAGTCACTGTTGTTAAAGGTCAAATGGATCTTGATCTTTCTACAAGCAGATTTTAGATCCTTGGCCTTAATTGAGCAATGACCGGTACCTTAGTTGAGCAGTGAGGCCTTTTTGCAAAGTCCAATGGCTGCAGCTTCGTCCAAGCTCTCCAGAACACTCTTCAGCCCAAAAGGCTTCTCCAAAGATGCTCCATACTGGCAGCCATCTTGCTGCTCTGCTCCCTCTGGTTTCCCCCTCCAGCAGGGGAGCTGAAGTTCACTTGGCCTCTAGCATAGGCTTCCAGCTACGGCAAGACCCAGAAGAGAAAAAGACCCTCCTCACAATGGCATCCTCACCGGGCAGAAGGCCAGGAGGGAAGACTTGCTTTCGTTTACCAATTTGTATTGAGCCTGGAGACCATCACAGGAGTGAGCTTGGAGTGGTGACTACTTTACAACACACACAGGGACCATGGGGAACAAAAGTAGCCCCCCTCCAGAAGGAAGGACAGTGTCAGCACCAATTCAGAGATGATTTGAGGATCACTAGAATGTATCTTTAGTATTTAACTCCTGAGGTCCCATAAAGTGTGTCTAGTCACAGGATGGGTATATTTTTTTCTGGGGTCAGCTCAGATTGCTATGTTAGAGCAGAATTCTTATATAATGTCATATTTTAGTCAAAGCTTTAATCATTTCTTGAAGAAAGGTTGAATATTTAGTCATGGAGCTTTCCTGAACCGCAAGTTTGGGGTGAAATGAGTCCGAGGAGCTTCTTTTTCCTTCCCTCCTACTCCTTACCCTTCAGGCCCCGTTCACATATAGTGACTTGTCGCACGATTTCCGCCGCGATATTTTTGCCGCGCGATATCGCAAGAAGTCGCCGGCCAATGATATTCAATGGAGCTGTCTTAACTCCATATCGCAAGTCGCTTCTACCGGACCCTTTTTTCGGCGGATTTTGCGCGATTTTGCTTTTTTTCTATGGAGCCCGACGGAGAAGGTCGCGCTACCGTCGCTGGAACGTCGCCCCGAAAGTCGCGCTATCCCGGCCGCTGCAAAATGTATGTCCCTACATGTGAACGGGGTCTAACACATGTACACTTCATCTTCCATTGTGTTCTCCATCTACAAGGGATGTTCAGATACCAAGTACTGTACTCGGTACAAGTACAGATACTTTTCCAGCTCCAGGACTAGACTAGAGACAAACTCAAAAGTTAGGAGGCGGCTGTCATTTGTAAGGAGCATTGGTTACAGGCTCCTGGGATTTGTGCGTCCCTGTTTTAGTGTATGATATTTTTATATAAATTAACTTCATTGATACATTTTTTTCCAGACCAAGTCCTCACAGATACAAGTACTGATACATTTTTGTTCCGTGTCATTTGACAGTTTTTCAAAAACAATACAGACTAATGATTTCAGGGCAGTGGTGCAGCGCCAGAGCCCAGACCCAGCTGCAACTTCTGTGACCCTGGTAGTTGTGAAAATGTCAAGTATCGGCACTGGTATCTGAACATCCCTACCATCTACCATTCACAAGCTGCTTATTGCTGCTTGCATCTTGACTAGCCCAGTGTTCTTGATCCTCCGAATGTCCCCCGAACACTAAATATTCTATAAAAATTCAACTGAGCACCATGAAATCCTCCTAAGCTCTTTCTATATATTCTCATGGTGTCTGAATGTGGACAAGTGGGGATAAAACATGTTGATTGTCTAATAAACTGTTGACCTGTAAAATGTTTTCTCTTCCAGCAGTCCCAGCTGATGGAATCCCCAAACCGGCTGCAGAAAGACAGAAGAAAATGTACGGTCCCAGCAAGGTTGGTATCTTCCCTGAGCCTCTCCCTGCGCTTGTGGGGTCTAGAACAGAGCTTAAAAATTGTGTGTGTGTCCGTGTGTGTGTTACACCAGAGGCCTCGTCATGTGTTTGGCTGCAGACAAAATGCATGCATTGGTTTCAATAGAGCGTTGTCTCACCCATATACCCATGCCGTAACTTGCACTTTGCCATCCAGGTCATTTCAGATGGAGCGTTTCAAAAACACAACACATCTAAAATGCGTGAGGTCTAGGTTTACACGTGTTGTGACATGAAGCCAGTCTCTTGACAGCCATTTTCTTTTCCTCGCTGTTCTAAAGTTGATGAAAATCCAACCACTAAAATCTTCTATAAGCTTTAACATGGGACTCACCAGCAGTACAACCCCTGCGGCCATCCTGCCACCACCCCTGAAGCCCTCACCTCCTGTTTTTTTTTTTTTTAAATTACCTTTTTACCTTCAGTCTTCTAGCCAGTCTGATGACACAACAGCTTCCTTCTTCTTATTCCTGCAACAGGAGAGGGGACGGCTGGCATTCTTCCAGGACTGAGCGGCACTCATGTAATGACGTGTGAGTGCCACTCCAGTACTGTGGTACCAGCCTTTGTGATGATATACCCACCAGGGGGGGGGAATAAAAAACGTAAAGGTTCTGTCAGCCCCGCCTTGGAATTGGGGATGGGAAGAGATCACTTAGCTGGAATGCTGAAAGTGCAAACAAAGCGTTTTGTATAATCGGCAAGAAATCACCAATCTTTATTTTTATTATTCTTCAGCCTCCACAAGGTGTTCTCGGCTCTCAGTACCCAGAAGATGACCCTGATTACTGTGTGTGGACACCTCCTACAGGTAACATTGTCTTACCGTTTCTATGATTGATTTTCAAATGTGAACGGCATCGGTTGTGTGTTTTCAGGGATACTCGTTTTGGCATTTTATTTTTTCTACCGTATATACTAGAGTATAAGCCGAGATTTTCAGCCCATTTTTTTGGGTGAAAAGTGCCCCCCTCGGCTTATACTCAAGTCAGCGCCAGCGCGTCTTCTTACTTACCTCGCCGAGCGTCGCGTCACTGACTATTCGGGTCATTACTTTTTCCCAGTTTTTTTTGGTAAAATTAGGTACCTCGGCTTATATTCGGGACGGCTTATACTCGAGTATATACGGTACTCCAAACCTGACCGATCAGCATTTTACCAGCGCTGAGATTCGCTGCTTGGCTTCCTTTTTGGCATCTCAGCCTGACATTGCAAACAGATTGGTTTCCATTATGAGCTGCGTCAGAAACCTCGTAATTGGTTTCCAAGGCCAACCCAGAGTAGCGCTATGGTTTCCAGAGGCAGAAGAGTAGCACTGTGGTTTCAAGAGACAGACCAGTAACGCTATGGTTTCCAGAGGCAGCCCAGTAAGAGTAGTGCTATGGTTTCCAGAGGCAGCCCAGTAAGAGTAGCGCTATGGTTTCCAGGAGTAGCACAGTAAGAGTAGCGCTATGGTTTCCAGAGATAGCCCAGTAAGAGTAGCGCTATGGCTTCCAGAGGTAGCCCAGTAAGAGTAGCGCTATGGTTTCCAGAGGTAGCCCAGTAAGAGTAGAGCTATGGTTTCCAGGGGTAGCCCAGTAAGAGTAGCACTATGGTTTCCAGAGGCAGCCCAGTAAGAGTAGTGCTATGGTTTCCAGAGGTAGCCCAGTAAGAGTAGCGCTATGGTTTCCAGGGGTAGCCCAGTAAGAGTAGCGCAATGGTTTCCAGAGATAGCCCAGTAAGAGTAGAGCTATGGTTTCCAGAGGCAGCCCAGTAAGAGTAGCGCTATGGTTTCCAGAGGTAGCCCAGTAAGAGTAGAGCTATGGTTTCCAGGGGTAGCCCAGTAAGAGTAGCACTATGGTTTCCAGAGGCAGCCCAGTAAGAGTAGTGCTATGGTTTCCAGAGGCAGCCCAGTAAGAGTAGCGCTATGGCTTCCAGGGGTAGCCCAGTAAGAGTAGCGCAATGGTTTCCAGAGATAGCCCAGTAAGAGTAGAGCTATGGTTTCCAGAGGCAGCCCAGTAAGAGTAGCGCTATGGTTCCCAGAAGCAGCCCAGTAAGAGTAGCGCTATGGTTCCCAGAAGCAGCCCAGTAAGAGTAGCGCTATGGTTCCCAGAAGCAGCCCAGTAAGAGTAGCGCTATGGTTCCCAGAAGCAGCCCAGTAAGAGTAGCGCTATGGTTCCCAGAAGCAGCCCAGTAAGAGTAGCGCTATGGTTCCCAGAAGCAGCCCAGTAAGAGTAGCGCTATGGTTCCCAGAAGCAGCCCAGTAAGAGTAGCGCTATGGTTCCCAGAAGCAGCCCAGTAAGAGTAGCGCTATGGTTCCCAGAAGCAGCCCAGTAAGAGTAGCGCTATGGTTCCCAGAAGCAGCCCAGTAAGAGTAGCGCTATGGTTCCCAGAAGCAGCCCAGTAAGAGTAGCGCTATGGTTCCCAGAAGCAGCCCAGTAAGAGTAGCGCTATGGTTCCCAGAAGCAGCCCAGTAAGAGTAGCGCTATGGTTCCCAGAAGCAGCCCAGTAAGAGTAGCGCTATGGTTCCCAGAAGCAGCCCAGTAAGAGTAGCGCTATGGTTCCCAGAAGCAGCCCAGTAAGAGTAGCGCTATGGTTCCCAGAAGCAGCCCAGTAAGAGTAGCGCTATGGTTCCCAGAAGCAGCCCAGTAAGAGTAGCGCTATGGTTCCCAGAAGCAGCCCAGTAAGAGTAGCGCTATGGTTCCCAGAAGCAGCCCAGTAAGAGTAGCGCTATGGTTCCCAGAAGCAGCCCAGTAAGAGTAGCGCTATGGTTCCCAGAAGCAGCCCAGTAAGAGTAGCGCTATGGTTCCCAGAAGCAGCCCAGTAAGAGTAGCGCTATGGTTCCCAGAAGCAGCCCAGTAAGAGTAGCGCTATGGTTCCCAGAAGCAGCCCAGTAAGAGTAGCGCTATGGTTCCCAGAAGCAGCCCAGTAAGAGTAGCGCTATGGTTCCCAGAAGCAGCCCAGTAAGAGTAGCGCTATGGTTCCCAGAAGCAGCCCAGTAAGAGTAGCGCTATGGTTCCCAGAAGCAGCCCAGTAAGAGTAGCGCTATGGTTCCCAGAAGCAGCCCAGTAAGAGTAGCGCTATGGTTCCCAGAAGCAGCCCAGTAAGAGTAGCGCTATGGTTCCCAGAAGCAGCCCAGTAAGAGTAGCGCTATGGTTCCCAGAAGCAGCCCAGTAAGAGTAGCGCTATGGTTCCCAGAAGCAGCCCAGTAAGAGTAGCGCTATGGTTCCCAGAAGCAGCCCAGTAAGAGTAGCGCTATGGTTCCCAGAAGCAGCCCAGTAAGAGTAGCGCTATGGTTTCCAGAGGTAGCCCAGTAAGAGTAGCGCTATGGTTTCCAGAAGCAGCCCAGTAAGAGTAGCGCTATGGTTTCCAGAGGCAGCCCAGTGAGAGTAGCGCTATGGCTTCCAGAGGCAGCCCAGTGAGAGTAGCGCTATGGCTTCCAGAGGTAGCCCAGTAAGAGTAGAGCTATGGTTTCCAGAGGTAGCCCAGTAAGAGTAGAGCACGGCAGCACCTAGGAATGCATATGTTCAAATACAACAGTGCAAAAGGCCTTCAATGGTTAATTAATTACTTCAGAGCTCATTTGTCTTATTATATCCGCCTGCAGTTCAGCTCAACAGACCGGAAATGAAGAATTGATTGTACTACCGGCACATTCATATTTTGCTTCTTTCCAGGACAATCCGGCGATGGAAAGACCCATTTAAATGAAAAATACGGCTACTGAATCCGGCAAGACTCCATCAATCGATCTCTTTCCCCAGGAAACTCCGGCTAGTCATATTCATTCCGCTGCGCAGATCACAAATGTTTGCAGGTTGGACAGTTTTGTACTTTCTGCCACTGAAGACATTGGATCGCCTGGAACACAGCCCGAATCTCAACCCGCTCCGGTGTTCTATGCTGCAGAGGAACACCACAGACATATATTCATCTTCGGCCCCTTTCATATGGTCTGATCAGGGGAGGGGGGACCGTGGAGGAACAAAATGAAATTACTGGACCCAGGCTGGTCTGTGGGGAATCGGATGTAAACGGACTTGTGAACTCGGATCCATTTGTTTTTCTGGACCTGGCAGGAGCCAGAGGTAACCGGATGTAAATGGACGTCTGTCTGTTTAGATCCCGCTTCCCATAGACTAACATTGGACTTCCAATCCGGCCCAATGTAAAACTGACAGGCAGCCCTGATCATAACGCCCGTGTGAAAGGGGCCTGACGCACCTAGAATGAGATATCCGCCAAATAGTTTACAAAGGACCAACTATTCAATATCTTATAATCAATGTGTGAGGAAAGGTAAGAAAGAATTCCATCAGAGCCATGTGCCTATGACATCACATATGGCCACACATTGCACTCACCTATGGCATCACACATGGCTGCATATAGCACCCGCCTATGGCATCACACATGGCTACATATACAAATTGTCTATGACATCACACATGGCTACATATACAAATTGTCTATGGCATCACACATGGCTACATATACAAATTGTCTATGACATCACATATGGCCACACATAGCACTCGCCTATGACATCACACATGGCTGCATACAGCACTCGTCTATGGCATCACACATGGCTACACATAGCACTTGTCTATGACATCACACATGGCTACATATACAAATTGTCTATGACATCACACATGGCTACTCAGCGCACTCGTCTGTGGCATCACACATGGCTACATATAGCACTCGCCTATGGCATCACACATGGCTACATATAGCACTCGCCTATGGCATCACACATAGCTACATATAGCACTCGCCTATGGCATCTTATATTGTTACATAGAGCACTTGTCTGGCATCACACATTGTTACATATGCCACTCCTCTATGACATCGCATGTGACTACATATATAGCACTCCTCTATGACATCTCACATTGTAACATATAGAACTTGCCTATGATGTCACACATGGCTACCTATAGCACTAGTTATTAGCTCATACATTGTTAGCACGTGGTATATAACACCGCCAGTAATCACCTTTGGTAACATCTAGGTACAAATATAGTCCACTAACAACCAAAGAAACAATCGATGCGCTGGATATTCACAATGTATGATGTCATAGACGAGTGCTGTATGTAACAATGTATGATGTCATAGACGAGTGCTGTATGTAACAATGTATGATGTCATAGACGAGTGCTGTATGTAACAATGTATGATGTCATAGACGAGTGCTGTATGTAACAATGTATGATGTCATAGATGAGTGCTGTATGTAACAATGTATGATTTCATACACGAGTGCTGGACGCAGCTCTGTTTGAAGTCATAGACGAGTACATAGACGAGTGCTGTATGTAACAATGTATGATGTCATAGACGAGTGCTGTATGTAACTATGGATGATGTCATAGACGAGTGCTGTATGTAACAATGTATGATGTCATAGACGAGTGCTGTATGTAACAATGTATGATGTCATAGACGAGTGCTGTATGTAACAATGTATGATGACATAGATAAGCATGACAGTTTCAATGTACATGTTCAATCCGTCACATGGGGACGCAGCTCTGTTTGAATGTTTGCTTATAGTAGAAGTTGGAGTCCGTGAAGCAGATATTTCATTCTAGACGTGTCCGTTCATTGTACCGGAGACTGCGGACCCGGGAGGAGGTTTATTCAGCCGTTTTATTTCATTTGATGTATCTCTTTTTTAGTTTTGAGGGGTTCTGTGCACCCAACGCCGCACC